CCTGATGAGAGTGATGTGTGCAGACTTCTTTCCTGATGAGAGTGATGTGTGCAGACTTCTTTCCTGATGAGAGTGATGTGTGCAGACTTCTTTCCAGAGGAGAGTGGTGTGTGCAGACTGCCCTCCTAGTGAGGCTGATGGTCTTGTGAGCCTGCCCTACAGCCAAAGTGATGACCTTGTCCTTTACATTGTTCAGTCAGGCACCTGCTAACCACGTGTGACTAGTGGTCCACGCAGTATGGACTGGGTTGTGGTTTGTGGTCTTTGGCTCTGCTCTCCTCAGATCCGGAGTTTGCATGCACCCCCTTACAGGAGGCAGACAGACTGATATCTCAGCACAGTGCTTGCAAACGTGACTGTCACCAGCAAAGAGGACTCTGCCCGTTGTGCTGTGCACAGTACATCTTAGACGTGGGCTGTATTCTGAGCCCCTGATCCTCCACGGCTGCGGTCTTCTGGGTTTACCTGACCCATTTATTACACAGTTGACCTGCTCGGATGAACATCACCTCATATGTTGCCTTAGTACTAATCCTAGTTTAAAATGTGGACCATTGATTTTCTCTTGCAGTCTCTGAGATACGACACCAGCTATTTTGTTGAATATTTTGCCTTGGACCTTCTAATGGAGAACGGGGAGTGTCGAGGTGTCATCGCACTGTGCATAGAGGATGGGTCCATCCATCGCATACGCGCCAAGAACACGGTCATTGCCACAGGGTAGGGAGCAAATCCTTCCCGCAACACACGTGTCCTAGAGCTGCTTTGTTCAGTGAAAGTAGAGTGGGAGCAAGACGTAGGCAGCGCACTTGGTTTGGTGAAGATGCTGACCTGTGCTGGCTTCAGTTCCTCATCTGTAGAAGGGACAGAAAAGCAGCTGGCCCAGTGGTGGCCACCATGCCAGGCTGGAGGGACACCTGACACTGCCATGCTACACCGCTCAGACACCGAGATTGTGCCCATTGCTGTTTGCTCTGAGGTGAAAACAACATTTCATTTACACCTGATCATAGTCATGGACCAGTGTGTGGCTTTAACAAACTCATTTATTTTCTCACCTTTTGCTGTCAAGTTGGAGCCAACTCACAGCTGACCATCTGGTTTTCAGAGACTAGATCACTCGGTATGAGATTGCCCATCGTTTCCCATGGAGTAGCTGGTAGACCTGAACTGTCTCCCTTCTGGTGGGCAGCATAACTCCTGAGCCACCAGGTGGCCCTCCTTTTTCTTTGTATTCTCACTCTAGGAAGCCTGTTGTGGTGACTTAGAGTTGGAACATCCCACAGCTGGCCCTCCAGCAGGGTTTCAGAGGCAGTAAATCACTCGGGGGGAGAGTGCCCATCCTCCCAGGGAGCCCCTGGGGGATGCGAACCCCATGCTTGGCATTGCAGTGCAGGTTCTTACCACTAGACCACCAGAGCTCCCTTTTGGCTACAAGTCTAACTTCAGGGTGACCCTCGGGGTTTTCTTGCTGTTAGCACTGAGAACGCTCCTCTGTTCTGTCAAGTGGTGCTGGTGGGCGCATGCCAGCATTGGGTCCTGGACTGGCACTACAGGCCCTCTACTGTCCTGCCCTCAGAGACATGTGACCGGCTTTGGTCTCTTCCAGGGGTTACGGGCGCACCTACTTCAGCTGCACGTCCGCACACACCAGCACCGGTGATGGGACTGCCATGGTCACCAGAGCGGGCTTGCCCTGCCAGGACCTGGAATTTGTCCAGTTCCACCCCACAGGTAGGGGGCGAGTGTCCAGTATCCCTGTCTCACTACTCAACACCTGGTGTGAGTGTTGTGTCCTCAGGAGGTTCTCGCGACCTGTCACAGAGATTGTGGGTGCTGTCCTGAGCTTCCCCCAAGACTTATTGTCCTTTTTCAGTGTGCCAGTCAGGAGAGGACTCTGCTACCGCAAGCGTGATTGTGTTGGATGTGCCTTGTTACAGGACGTGGCTGACAGACTAGGCTGAAACAGGGGCCAAAGATCCAGTCCTGGAATTCTCTTCTTGACATCATGGGGAAGCCAGCAAGCATGTGGAGAAGCACTCATGAGAACTGGAAGGGACTTTGGGCTGAAGTGTAGGTCTATGACATTAGGGTGGGATGTCACCCAGAGTCTCAGCTGAGGCGTTGGGATGTGACATTAGAGTGGGTGTAGGGATATGACGGTAGAGTAGGTGTAGGACTGTGACTTTAACGGGTATAGAGCTGTGATGTGATGTTAGGGTGGGTGTAGGGCTGTGACGTTAACGTGGGGTTTAGGGATGTGACCCTAGGGTGGGTGTATGTTTTCAATCTGTATGTAGAACAGATTATCTGAGAACCTAGACTTTATGAGGAGGAATGCAACATCAGGATTGGGGGAAGATTCATCAACAACCTGCTTTACGCGAATGACACAACCCTGCTTGGTGAACTGAGAAGGACATGAGACATATGTTGCAGAAGGTCAAGGACTATAGTATAGTCTTCAATATGGATTGAAGCTCAACAGCACGAAAACAAAGATTGTTACCACTAGGCCAGTTGACCTTTTCTTGATAGGTGGAGAAGAGATTTAACAATTTCAGTTTGCTTTGTTCTACAGTCAACTTGGCACTAGCAGTCAGGAAATAAAGACAAATTACATTGGGGAAATGTGCTGGCAGGGACCTCTCTATAGAGTAAAATGTCAGTCAGGAGACTAAGGTTCTTTTGATTCAGGTCATGGTCTTCATAATTACTTAGCACCGTCAGAGAGCTGGAAAGTGACTAAGGATGATAGAAGAAGAATCAGTGTCTCTTGAATTTGCTGGAGAAGAGGATTTGGCATACTGTGGACTACCAGGAGAATAAACAGGTGTATCCTGGAGAGGGGAAAGCAAGCTTCTCCCTGGAGGCAAGGATTTTGAAGCTCTGTCTCACATACTTTGAGCATATGGCCAGGAGGGACCAGTCCTTTGGAAAGGTCATCATGCTTGGAAAGGGTGGAAGGACAGCGCGGGGAAGGCAAATCCAGGATGAAATGCATTGACACGGTAACTGGGTGGTGGGATTAGGTGTGTCTGAGTCAGTGAGACTGGTTCAGGACAGTGCAGGACTAAGAGCTGTTAGTCACAGGGTCGCTGAGTCGCAGGCACCTGGACAGCACATGACAACAGTAGCGCTATGATGTCAGGGTGGGTGTCAGCCTGCTGCAGGGAACGCTTCAAAGATGAAGTCTGGGGTTACATCTAGGCTCGCACTCACTTCAGACTCCCTCAGCTATAGATTTGTTCCTGTGTCGTGTTCAGCCTCACTCATCCCTGGGCAGGCAGCCTGTATGGGGCCAGTGTGGGTACCCTCCTGACCCTTAGGGTGGGAGTGTCCCCGTGGTGCTGAGGTAAGTCTGTGTTAGTTAGGTTTCAACATGTGAGAAGAAAGCCACCACACATGCCCCTCTGGACTCCAACACGTGGGTAAAGTGAAGAGCCTGGGTTCTTGGTGGCTCATTACTAAGCTGCCCGCTACCTTGGTGAGCTGACCAAACCAATAATCTTCTCCTATTCATCAGTGAGAAGATGGGCCAAGGAGTTGGCCTGGGCTTGTTGTGAAATGCAGTGGGCGTCTTTCTATAAAGCCATGGTTGTGCACCAGTGATGCCAGCATTCACTGACATCACCTGCTGGTGTGCTTTTCCAAGCCAGCTCTTCTTTTCTGAAGTGGTTACAATAGTTTCATAGTGCAAAAGATCATTATTGAGAAACAGAAGTTTGAAACCTTTAGCACGTACTTGATGGGTCTCCCATGTACACAGTCTGCGTTTGGTGAAGGAGCGTTTATTCATTGCAGCTCCATGTCCCTGGCTAGCACCATCTCCAGGGATCCAGGACATCATTCAGGACAATCCAGGGATTGGTCCATGTCCTTTCCTGTCTTACTGTTTTGAGTATAAAGCCCCATCCTACGCCTTCCCCCCACCCACCAGCGTCTTGAGGAAGACTCTGCATGTGAATGACAGCACGGTGGCTGCTGGGTTGTAAACATGGGTCTGTGTTGATTTGCAGGCATATATGGAGCTGGCTGTCTCATCACGGAAGGCTGCCGTGGAGAGGGGGGTATCCTCATCAACAGTCAGGGTGAGCGGTTCATGGAGAGATATGCCCCTGTTGCTAAGGACTTGGCTTCCAGAGATATTGTGTCTCGTTCCATGACACTGGAGATCCGAGAGGGAAGGTGGGTTGGGTTTTGTATAGTGATATCGTACTGTCATGTACACACACAGACACACACACCCCGCCTCCCCAAAGATTGTGGAACGAGGTGTCTATGTTGGGGGAGTGAGGGTCAGACAGACACCTCCACTTGTAACAGGAAGCAGAGAGCATATGCCCCAGCATGAGCACCTGAACCGTGTGTGTGTGTGTGTGTGTGTGTGTGTGTGTGTGCGTGTGTGTGCGCGCGCGCATGTGGAGGCTTGGATGGGGGCTTGTTAGCCTTCAGAGGGAGCTGGGGCTATTCCATTGTTTATCACTGTCCATGCACATAGTGACACTTGTCATATCTCTACAGAATAGCTTTTCAGCTTGGAAAGTAGAGTAACTTTTAATGTTTTAGTGCAAAAGCTGAACAGAAGTAAATGAGTTCTGAGAGCACTTGGTCAAAGAGGTCTTTGTAGTGCATTTATCAAGGACAAGGTAGCAGATTTCATCCTCCCGCTCCAGCTGCTCTTAGAAGCCCTGTGTGGTAGGGATTTTGTTTGCTGTCTCTCCGTATATACAGCTTCTGGCACACAAAAGTGAGCCTTTGTAGAGTCTGGATGAAAGTGGGGAGCTGTTTCTCCATCCACAGAGACTTCAGCTGAGTGCAGTGAGAATGACTCGTTTAGCCATTCAGAGAAATGACTCCCTGAGGCTATAAATTCTTCTCTGCAGATGAAGGGGAGTCCTGGGATGCACTGATACTGTGTCTCTGTCGGCTGCCGTGACACGTAGCTCCTAACATCCTCTGCCTTGTCTGCCCTGTCCTCCTTCCTGCCCTAGGGGCTGTGGTCCCGAGAAGGACCATGTCTACCTGCAGCTGCACCACCTGCCCCCCGAGCAGCTGGCCGCCCGCCTGCCGGGCATCTCAGAGACAGCCATGATCTTTGCAGGCGTGGACGTCACCAAGGAGCCCATCCCTGTTCTCCCCACTGTGCACTACAACATGGGCGGCATCCCCACCAACTACCGGGGCCAGGTGCGTGTGGGGTGCACACTGGGATGGGGTGACCCCCAACAACTACTGAGACCAGGTGCATCTAGGGTACATGCTGCGTTGGGGTGATCCCACCAACTACCAGCACCAGGTGTGTGCAGGTTGCACTCTGGGGTGGGGTATACCCTCAGAGCATCACTGGAGCCAGCTCTCCCTCGGGCTCATCTCCAGCTACCGGGGTCAAGTGCATACAGGGTGCACACTGGGGTGGGTGATGCCCACCATCTACCCTGGCCAGGTGCATGTAGGTTACACACTGGGGTGGGGTAACCCTTCAGGCCAAGTCAACCTCTCGGGCTCGTCTCCAAATACCTGGGGCCAGGTGTGTGCAGGGTACATTCTAGAGTGGGTATACCCCTCAGACCATCGCAGAGTTAGCCTTGGGGTGACCCTCACCAAGTATCAGGGCCAGGTGCCTGTGGGGTGTATGCTGGGGTAAAGTATCCCCCTCAGGCCATTGCTGGAGCCAGCCCTCCCTGGGGCCAAGCTGGTTCAGAGGTCTTGCTAGAAAGGCGAGACCTTAGCTGCACTCAGTCTGTTCATTTGTTCTTTAGTAACATGGCCACTGTTAGTGCACTGTGGAGTCAGAACCGACCCCCAGTAGACCATCCAGCAAGTTTGCAGAGGCTGTAAACCCCGTGGAAAGAAATAGTCCATCTTTCTCCCTTGGAACAGCTGGTGGATTTGAACTGTGTGCCTTTGAATTGGCAGCATAACGCTTCCTACCAAAAGCCACCAGTGCTCCATCGTAGCCTGGGATGTGATCATTGTGCAAAGCACATGGCCAAGGCGCTTTCATCTGTCTTCCCAGTTTAGGATTACTTCACTGAGACCGCCTTAGTCAGGTGATCTGTACAGTTTACGCCCTCCTTGACTGTAGTTTCCTCGTGATCATTGTGAGATGCATAGAAGTTTGTAGTCTAGGGTGCTGACGAATAGTAGCCGCAGAGTGCCTTCAACTCCATTTCCCAGTTCACTTTGACATCCTTACACCATGTCCCCACCTCAGAGCCTGGGGAGCAGGAGGGTCCAGGCAGCCAGGCAGAGTCATGATGCAGGATTGAAGACACAGCTGCCAGCGTTTGGGTCCTGGTCAGTCAAAGTGAGGGTGGGGCCAGGGAGGAAGACTGAGGTGTGGACGTGACCTCCCAGAGTGCAGGCTGGGCAGAATGCTGTAAGAAGCACTGGTGCTGTGATGTGTGCCCTGTCCTTTCAGGTCCTGAAGCACTCGAATGGGCAGGACCAGGTTGTGCCTGGCCTGTATGCCTGTGGGGAGGCTGCCTGTGCCTCGGTGCACGGCGCGAACCGCCTGGGGGCAAACTCTCTCCTGGACCTGGTCGTGTTTGGCCGTGCCTGTGCCCTGAGTATCGCAGAATCCTGCAGGCCTGGTACGTACTGGCGTCAGCAAGAGCTGGTACTGACATCTGGAGATTGGCGTAGTGGTCACACCGCTGTGCTGGCTGTGGGGGTATTCTGGAAGTCAGGGAGCAGAGAAGTCCAGAGATGATGCAGTGGTGGAATAAATTAGACACGGCAGGGGGTGTTAGTCACAGGATCATTTTGGTGGCCAAATTTTTTCTTTACATTCATTACTTGCTTGGGAAATTGTTTTGAGGGGTTGCTTATTACATCTTAGTTCCCCTAGGTGGTGCTGCTGGTTAAACATTGGCTTCTAACTGAAAGATTGGAGATGTGAGTCTGTGAAAGTTGGACAGCGACTAAGAGTGACAGAGGACGGATAGTTGCCTTTGAGTTGTGGTGTTGGGGAAGAGAAATGAATATGTATCATGGACTGCCGAGAGAGCAAACGGCTATGCCTTGGAGAGGCTGCAGCTGGAGTGTTTCTGGGAGGCAAGGATGGTGAAGCTTGGTCTCACATACTTGGGGCATGTTGTTGGGAGGAGCAGTTCTTGGAGAAGGACATCTTGCTGGGAAAGGTAGCATAAGAGAGGAAGACTGATGAGATGGGTGGACACAGTGGGCCCAAGTGTAGCAGAGGTCGTGAGAATGGCACAGGGCAAGTTCAGATCCGTTATTCTAAGGTTGCTCTGAATCACAGTGAACTTGACGGCCCTTAACAAGAGGAATAGGCTCCTCGGAATAAAGGCCAGATGATCTACTTCCATAGTCACCAGCACTGACACCTTTGCTGAGCAGTTCTTCTCTGACACACTCTGAGTTAAACTCAACCACAGCTGTTTGTTGTTATTCTTCTTTGTCATTTACCTGGTACACAGGCAGTCCCAAGGTTATGAGCCTCTTACTTCAGGACACCTTCTGCTTGTGCTCTAAACACAGCTTGCAACCTATTCAAGAAGTCCTGGGAGCACAGTGCTCAGTGCTTGGTCAGCAGTTCAAATCCAGCTCATTCATGGGAGAAATACCTGGCATTTAACGTCCGTGATACCAGCCTTGTGTCTCTGGGCAATTCTCTGCCTAATCGTGTTGATATGATTAGAACCATCTGGATGGCAACAAGTTCGGTTTGGATTTGGTTTTCACCTGATTGAAAGCAGTGCGGTTTATCTGACAAGTGCAGACCTGAATGGATGACATGCCCACACTTTGTGAGACAAAGTTTCAACATTCTTGTCTCTAAGGAGCTTCTCAAAGACCGACTTCCGTGTTCTTTTGCCAGTCCATGAGATATTCAGTATTCTTCACCAAGAGGGACGTTTAAAGGCGTTGATTCTTCTTCAGTTTTCCTCACTTACTATTTAACATTGAGATGAATAAGCAGCAAGTGAAAATGCCAGGCCTTAGATCAAGCTCACCTTGTTGTTGTTACATGCTGTCAAGTCGCCTATGACTCATAGCAACCCTGTGTACAGTAGCTCTAGATCCTGCTCTATCCTGAGCCCGTCTCATCGTCTCCAACACACCTACCCCAATTACCATAGTCACCGAGTCAGTTCATCTCACCTGCTGTTTTCCTTTCCTGTGCTGTCCCTCCACCTGCCAACCATGATCTTCTCCAAGGACTGCTTCCTCCTGGCAACATGCCAGAGTGCATAAGACAGTGCTTCAGAATCCTTGCGTCCAGGGGGCAGTTTGGTTTCACCCTCTCCGGGACAAACCTGTTTGTTCTTTTGGCAGGCGATGGTCTGTTCAGTACTCTTCTCCAGCAGCACAGCTCAGAGACATCAATTCTCCTGTCATCCTTAGTTATTGTACAGCTCTGCATAGCAAGCATGCATTAGTGTTTTGGGGTTTTTTAAGTATGTTATTAGGTACTTATTAGACATACGATCTCAACAGGACACAACTTTGTTTTTTAGTCTGTTGGTAAGGATTTTTATTTGAGGAGGCTCAATGAAGGCTATAGTCTATGATCTTCTGCAACAAATGCTTCAGGTCAACCTCACTTTCAGCAACAAGATCATCTGCATAATGCAAATTGCTGATGAGTCTTCCTCTGATCTCATGCCACATTCCTCTTCATATAGTTCACCTTCAAATGATTTACTCAGCATACAGATTAAATAGGTGTGGAGAAAAGTACTCAACCCTGACCCAACACCTTTCCTCATTTCATACCCTGCAGTTTTCTTATTCTTTTCCAATAGGTTTTTCATAAGCATGATTCAGTATTCTGGAATTCCAAGTCTTCCCAATGTTATCCACAATTTATTACAATCAACCAGGCTAATGCCTTTGCATGGTCAGCTAGTTAAGATATAATTGTTCGTTGCTGCTGAGTCAACTGTGACTCATAAAAACCCTATGAGAACAAATCGAACTGAGCCTTGGCCCCAGCCTGTGCCATCCTGTGATCTCTGTCCTGTTCAAACCGTTGTGGTAGTGCCTGCATCAGTCCGTTCCGTTGGGAGTCTTCTCTGTCTGACCCTCCACCTTTCCCTGCATGACGTCTCTAAGAACAAGGTCCTCCTGCAGATACAAAGTGAGGCGAAGTTGCACCATCCTTGCCTTGCAAGAGGGCGATGTTTGTACTTCTTCAAGACAGATTTGTTTCTTTTCGCAGTCCGTGGGATATTTAATACCCTTTGCTAACTACAGTTCAAAGGCATTGATCTTCTGCATTCTTCCTTACTCTTTATCCAAGTTTCAGATATGTGGGAAGCAGTTGACAAGACCATGGCTTGGATAAGGCACAACTTAGTCTTTTAATTGACAGCCTAGCTCTTTAAAACTTTGAAGAGGTCCTTGACAGCACATTTCCCCACTTACACTGTTAAAATTGAGGTTGTTAACAATTACAGCTTGCTTGGCTTCACAGTCAACACGCTGGCACCAGCAAGCCAGAAAGTAAAAGAATTTCCTCCTCCTGTGTATGGTTTGTCATGGACTCTCAACGTGGACAACCAACTCAGAGCTGACCCTATAGCAGGTTTTCAGAGACTGTAAACTGCATGGCGGGAGATAAACCAGCTTCTGGTGGAGCAGCTGGTAAATTTGGGTTGGCAGCACAGCTCCTTACCTGGTAGCCCTTCAGAGCCCCCCTCCCCCCAATACAGTGGGGCTGCTGTGTGCTGAAGCAGCCTGGCAGCACCTAACAGCAACAGCAATCAGTCCTCACAAAGTGCTTACCAGTCATACGCAGGCCGCAGCCCGGGACCAGACAAAAACTGTCAGGCTGTCCGTGTTTACAGTTTACCTGCACAGGTGACGAACTCAGGCAGAAAATTAGGGCAAAGGTGAGGCTCCTCAGGGCTTCAGGGGAGAGTCTGGTGTGATTTCTCCAGCGAGCCAATGCAGAAGATCTCATCCACCACAACTGCACAGCAGCCCTACCTGTTTATGTTGTTGGGGGAGTCACAACTGCCCTGTAACTGACCCTCTAGAGGATTTGCAGAAGTTGAGTCACACTGCCTTTGTTGTTGTTAGGTGCCAGTGAGTCAAATATGATTCATATTGACTGTGTGAAGAAAAGATTTGAACCTTGTTCTATCTTGTGTCATCCTCACACTTCCTGACATCCTAGACCTCATTGTGCAGTCACCATGTCAATTTACCTGGTTGAGGGTCTTCCTCTCCTTCGCCGACCCAGCACCCTTCTCAGCATCATGTCCTTCCTCAAGGAATACCCCTCCTAGCACCATGCCCAAAGTAAAGGAGGCAAAGCCTCACCATTCTTGCCTCCAAAGAGCATTCTGAGTGCACCCTTTCCAAGACATATCTGTGTTCTCTTGGCCATCCACGGGATATTCAGTGCTTTTCTCCAGAACCACAGCTCAAAGACATCAATTCTTGTATTCATCCTGATTCGTTGTCCAGCTCTCAAATGCATAGCAAGTAATCGGAAAGACTATGACCTGAATCAGACGCACCTTAGTCCTCAAACTGCCATCATTACTCCTAAATAATTTGAAGAGGTCCCTATCTGCAGACTTAGTAGATGGGCCATCTACTTCCTAAATAACAGGCCTTTGAAAACCCTTTGAACACTAAAGAAGGAGGATAGGTATAGTGTAGAGGTAAAGCCCAGATTGGAAGCATTTGAAATGAGGAAAAATAATAAACATTTAATAATTGTAACGTGGAATGCTGGGAAACTGGGAATTACTAAAAATGAAATGGCAAAACAACTATGAGATATCATCTCACCTAAGTCAGAATAGCAAAATTTAACAACAGCAAGCAACAAATGCTGGCGAGGTTGTGGAGAAATTGGAACCCTTATTCACTGTTAATGGAAGTGTAAAATGGTGCAACCACTGTGGAAGGTGGTATGGCGCTTTCTCAAAAAGTTGCAAAGAGAGATACCGTTCGACCCAGCAATTCCACTACAGGGAATATACCCCAAAGAGACCATAACTGACATCTAAGCAGATATATGCACACCCATCTTTATTGCAGCTTTGTTCACAATAGCAAGGAGTTGTAAACAACCTAAGTGCCCATCAACAAATGAACAGATAGAGAAGCTGTGGTATGTTCACACAATGGAATACTACAGTACATTGAAAAAGAAGGAACTTATGCAATATTATTCAAAATGGGTGACCCTGGAGGACATTATGCTGAGTGAAGTATCTTAGTCACATAGGAACAAATACTGCATGGTGCCACTGTTGTAAAACAGGACTGACATCAGGGTTTGGGGGAGACTGAGAAATATGGGATAAATAATGTATACTGCATTGAAACAGATGAGGGAGAAAACTGTTTAAAAGGGATATGTGATTAGGTATTATTGTCATGACAGGCGTCCAGAACGAAGGCTGCGTAGTGGAGTGGACCTGGGGGGAAGAACTGTAAAATAATGAAAGAACTTTACTTTTCAAAGAGAAGAGTGTAGGGGGGGTGAAGGTGGAGCAGGGAGAAAAGTGCAATAAAGAATGACTAGAAATCCAGGGTCTCTGTAAATTTTCATTTAAGTTAATAAATTTTAAAAAATTCTTCACCAATAACAAAATTTAAAAAAAAAAGATTGAAATGGAACACGAGTTCAACACTGCCTTTGTAGATGTATTTAAAGCAGTGAGAATGCCCGGAAAACGTGCTTGTCCACAGTGCTCACAGTCTTGTCTAGTCTGCCAGCTACATGCAGCTGTTAGTTCCATCAGACGCGAACGTGGTGCAGTGCCTTGCTCTGTGGTAGCTGTGGTGATATTGATGCCGTTGACATGCAGAGGGCATTGTGTGGATGTGGCTGGTCCTCTCCCGGGATGGACCAGCGCTCCAGATGCCTGATAACTCAGGGCGCCCTGGGCCCTTGCTGGGGGGACTTGGGCTGCGCCTGGACTCCTAGTCCTGACATGGCCTCATGTGCACTTCTTTTGTGGCCCTGCATTCTGTAGCAGGTCTTGGAACAAAGCAGAAAATTCCAAGTTCCATCGGGAAGTGAAGGTTTCTAAGCTGAGGCAGAAGCAGGAGAACCTCTGTGTACATGTCATTTCCCTTGTGTAGAGTAGTTGTGCGAGGACTCTAGTATCAGAGATCTTTGCTGTCCTGGGTTCACTCTGTAAAATTTGACCCAAGTCAAATGACTTCCCTGGTCCTGGGAAGGTGGGCAGTGCCTTGCCCAAGTGACTTGCACCATGTGGGACTGGGACACTTATGTCATCCATACACATCTTTCTCTAAATGCCTGTTTTTCACGACTTAAAATCTACCTTTTTTCCTTTTCCTTAGGTGATAAACTTCCTCCAATTAAAGCAAATGCTGGGGAAGAGTCTGTCATGAACCTGGACAAGTTGCGATTTGCAAATGGAAGTGTAAGAACATCAGAGCTACGTCTCAGCATGCAGAAGGTGAGGACCTGGCCCAGCCAGGGTGGCTGGAGGGCATTGCAGTAATCCCCTGGATTCAGCATGGCTTCCATTACTGACACGTAGACTTGATACACGTGCGAGGCATGAAGTGCCTGAGTCGCAGTAAGAACGTGCCCATTGCTGCCCCACACAGAGAGCTGGGAGAACGGGTCAGGCGTTTCCACACAGACCGGCCCTGTGCAGCAGGATGACCCCTGCCTGGCCTGGGCTGGCCATGCTTGGCCACTGTGGCAGCTACCCTGACCTGACAGACCTCCTCTTGCAGGCAATGCAGAGCCATGCGGCAGTTTTCCGTCTGGGCAGTGTGCTGCAGGAGGGCTGTCAGAAGATCAGCCAGCTCTATGAGGACCTGCAGCACCTCAAGACCTTTGACAGAGGTGAGCGCAGGGTCACTGGGTGGCTGGTCCCGTGGACCCTCGCTGTGGTCAGGAGCAGAGAGGCCCATCTGTGGATTCTGGCTGTGGCCATTAGTGGTTGTCAGTGGAAACTTGCCTGTAGACCCTGACCGTTGGCCGTTAGCAGAGGCTTGCCTATGGACGCTGGCAGTGGCCGTTAGTGTTGGCTCACCTGCAGGCTCTGGCCATGACTGTTAGTAGAGGCTCACCTGTGGGCGCTGGCCACAGTCATTAGCAACAGCTTATCTGTTTGCTTCAGGAAAAGCCAGGGCTCAGTGAGGCTCCGTGTTCAGCTTGTTCTGAAGAGTTCTGGTGTGAGCCCAGAGAGACAGCCAGGAGGTTGGCAGGGCCTGGGCTGTCCTCTCATCTCAAGACGTCTGTGTCCCCAGGGATGGTCTGGAATACTGACCTGGTGGAGACTCTAGAGCTGCAGAACCTGTTGCTGTGTGCACTGCAGACCATCTACGGGGCTGAGGCCCGCAAGGAGTCCCGAGGTGCCCACGCCAGGGAGGACTACAAGGTGTGTCTATAGAGGGCTCTGGGCACCGCTCTGTCCCCTTCTGGTGCTTCCTATCCCTCACCCTGAATATACCACCACCATTGTGTCCCCTCCTGGTGCTTGCTGACCCTTCCTCTCCTGTCTCCAGTGTTCCCCTGGGAAAGTGTGACCCTCACCCCAGCAGCACCAACCTGTCCCACCTGACAAGACCCATGCTGTCATCGTGGGCACAGAGGTTTCCTTCGATGCTGTCGTGCTCCAGGCCAACAGGTCTGGGTACAGACTCTGTCTCTGCCCAGAGAGCTTAAGGTGGCAGCAGTACCAGCCTCCATAAAGGCAACCTGAGTGGGGCTGTGCCCCGAGTGAGATCCTGATAAGGGCTGATGGGCTATGGGCAGGTTCATGTACCTAGTCTAGCTGCACAGAGCACAGAGTTCCAGCCTCAGCTGTATGAGAGGCTGACTGGTCTGTGCTTTGTTAGAGGGGGAGTATGGGCTTGAGGATGGATGAGGTGGTCTGGGCTCTCTCCAGGGGTGAGGTTAGCTCTGCTGAATCTCTGCATCAGCATCAGGCTTTGAGGCGGTCCTCAGTCTTCCCTTGACCCACTCATGAGGCTCCAGGTTCCAACACACCACTGGGCCGGAAACGGAGACATGGATGGATTGATTGTTGGACTTTCTTTCCTTTTTTTAAAAACTTTTTTAATTTTTTTATTTATTGACTGTGTGGATCATAACAAACTGTGGGTGACTCTAAGAAGAATGGGAGTCCCAGAACACTTGAGTGTTCTAATGTGAAACCTATACTTGGACCAAGAGGCAGTCATTAGAACAGAGCAGGGAAACACTGCATGGTTCAAAATTGGGAAGGGTGTACACCAGGCAAAGGTGTCCTATCTCCATACCTTTTCAACCTATATGCAGAACAGATTATCTGAGGAGCTGGGCTCTATGACGAGAAGTGCGGTGTCAGGATTGGTGGAAGATCTTTCAACAGTCTGCGCTGTGCAGATGACACAACCCTGCTTGCTGAAACTGAGGAGGACCTGAAGCGCTTGCTGCAGAGGGTCAAGGACTGCGGCCTTCAGTATGGATTGAGGCTCAATGTCAAGAAGACAAAGACTCTCACCACTGGATCAATTGGCAGCATCAGGATAGATGGTGAAGAGATTGAGATTGTTACCTTCAGTTTGCTTGGCTCCACAGTCAACACTCTTGGCACCAGTAGCCAGGAAATAAAAAAAAACATATCGCGATGGGAAAGTTTGCTGTTAGGGACCTCTCCAGGGTACTGAAGAGCAATGGTGTCTCTCTGGAGACTGAGGTGCGTCTGATACAGACTGTGGTCTTTGTAATAATTTGTTATGCATCAGAGAGTTGGACAGCGACTAGGGAGGATAGAAGGAGAACTGATGCCTTTGAGCTGTGGTGCTGGAGAAAATTATTGAATGTACCATGGACTGCCAAGTAAACAAACAGATTCATCCTGGAGAGGGTTAAACTAGGCTGCTCCTTGGAGACAAGGATTCTGGGGCTTCGTCTGACATACTTTGGACATGTTGTAAGGAGGGACCAGTCCTTGTTGAAGGACATCATGCTTGGGAGGGTGGAGGGACACTGCAAGAGGGGAAGACCCTTTATGAGGTGGATTGATTCAGTGACTGGGCTAGTCGGGATGGGTGTGTCAGAGGCAGTGTAATTGGCACAGGATAGAGCAGGGTTTAGGGCTGTTGTACATAGGGTCGCTATGAGTCGCAATCGACTCGAGGGCACATAACAATTCAATGAAAATTTACAGAGACTTTGGATTTCCATTCATTCACTGTTGCACTTTTCTCCCCTCCCAACCCTGTCCCCCACCCCCCAGTACACTCCCCTTTTGGAAAAGTAAAAGAAAAATTTTTTCATTATTTTACAATCTCTCCCCCAGGTCCACTTGACTATATAGCCTTTGCTCTGGACTCCTGTCATGACAAAAATCCCTAATAATTTTCCCTCTTAAACAGTTTTCTCTCTCATCTTTTTCAATGCAGTGTACATTATTGAATCCATTCTTCTCAGTCTCCTCCCAGCCCCGAGGTCGGTCCTGTTTTACAACAGTGGCACCATGCACTATTTGTCCTTTTGTGACTGAGATACTTCACTCAGCATAATGTCCTCCAGGGTCACCCATTTGGAATAATATTGCATGAGTTCCTTGTTTTTCAATGCAGTGTAGTATTCCATTGTGTGAATATACCACAGCTTCTCTATCTGTTCGTTTGTTGATGGGCACTTGGGTTGTTTCCAACTCCTTGCTATTGTGAACAAAGCCACAATAAGCATGGGTGTGTATATAACTACTTGGGTGGCTGTTACGGTTTCTTTAGGGTTTATTCCTAGTAGTGGAATTGCTGGGTCACATGGTATCTCTGCAACTTTTTGAGAAAGTGCCACACCGCCTTCCACAGTGGTTGCACCATTTTACACTTCCACCAACAGTGAATAAGGGTTCCAATTTCTCGCTGTTCTGTTAAATTTTGCAATTCTGAGTGGGGTGAGATGATATCTCATAGTTGTTTTGAATTGTTGGACTTTCTGAGCTGTGTTTTGTCTCTGGCATCAGGTGCGGATTGATGAGTATGATTATTCTAAGCCCATTCAAGGGCAGCAGAAGAGACCATTCGCAGAGCATTGGAGGAAGCACACCCTCTCCTATGTCGATGTCAAAACCGGGAAGGTACGCAAGGCGCTTTCTCCCTGCCCTGTCCAGTCCATTTCTCAGCGCAGCATGCAGGGCTTGTGAACTGGGAGGGGAGGTAGCAGGATGGGTGTGGAGCATACTTGACCTTTATGGGTCAGCCCTGCTCCTTGCCAGTCAGGAGGAACACAGCTTGGAGGCCGGTGTGCCATCACAGGCCCGCAGTGGCAGGAGAACGAACGATCCTGGGTCCAGAGCCAAGTAGTTCAGACAGAGGGGCTGAGAGGAGACCCCTTGAGCTGATGCTGACCACTGGATGCATCATAGGAAGAGGAGTTGGGCAGAGGGGGGGGGCCACACAGAATGACCAGCCATGACTGTACTCTGGTTCACTATTGGCTTTTCTGAGGGGCATTATCGTGTAAAAAGTTAAGCTTTACTTAGCAGTAAGGGATAGTCCAGTGTCTGCAGAGATAGATTTGAGCTCAGCTGCTGTGTGGTTAGGGTCACACAGGCGGGGTTTCCATGGTTGCTTTCCGAGGGTGTAGCATCAGACCTGCCCCTCTCAGCACGCACCTGCTTAACTCCCTCAGGAAGCTCGTTTGTGATTGGTAATACATATTCATTCTACGAAATAGAGGAAATCCAAAGAGGATGAAGAAAAAGAATCTCTGTGCCCCACCCATCACTGGGAAGTCATTATTACGTAATAAGTTTTTCAAGTTGTCTGTGTGGGCACTTTCTCCTATGTGATGTGTGTATATATGTGCACAAATAGCACTTGAAATCCCTGCAGATAAGTGCATATTTTAAAAAATAATTTAAATACGGCTGTATGTAAGTCCTCTTATAGGATCATTTTTTAAAAACACAACATTGATGTTGTCCGCTTTACTGGCTCAGTGTTGTCACATGGATTCATTGTGCACATGGCCAAGCCATGTGGGACATGACCCGGGTCTGCAAACCTAGACTGGAGGCCGTGCTTTTAGAAGCAGTAGAGAGATGGCTGCACGCATCTGTCTGTGCCCTCACTGTGTCTGTCTTTTCTTTTGAAGGTCACTCTGGACTACAGACCTGTGATTGACAAAACTTTAAATGAAACGGATTGTGCCGCTGTACCCCCAGCTATTCGCTCCTACTAACGAGGCTGGGCATGCCTAGAACCTACCTTGTAATAAAGATGATACCACCCAGCACGTGTTTGTGTAATTGCCTCTCTAGAGTCCTGGACCCTGATCAGCAAGGACAAGCGCTTACATCGACTGTCTGCCTTGTAGCCAACCGCTTGCTAGGAAGAATTAAGCTTATTTTCCCTTGTTTTGTTCTCATGAAATGATCAAAGGGAGCACAATTCTTCAATAAAGTGTAAATGTGAACAGACTTCCTTTAATGTATACATTCACTTTTAAGCAGTTTGTTGGCCTGAACTTTTGTAATTTATTTTTAAGTAAGAAGAAATTTTGTTACCTGACAGCAAATGAAGGAAACTAGCATTTCTTCTGTTTTTAGTAAGCAAGCAAGTGGTTTAACAAGTGACTCTGAGTTCTAAAATATTAAGAACCCTGTAGTGAATTAAGCTGATACAAGCAAATTGATCACTCTTTTATTTTTTTTTCTCCACTCTTATATTTCTCTGATGTTCTTTTTGTAGGTATAATTTACTTTTTAAAAATGGATTTTTTTAAAAAAAAATCTTTGTTTCTTTTTGAATTTTACTATTGTTTGTGTGTGTTCCGTCGAATCAGTTGGATCTAACTGGTACAAGGAAGAGATTGCCCCTCCTTCTCCAGCAAAGCATCTGTAAAAAAATTTCTTTATAAAATACTGTGCTATTACACGTGTCCCTTGAGATGTTTAATTGGTAGAAAAGGCTGCTTATAAGGCACTATTCCAGCGACCGTAGGTTTGAAGGACAGGGTTGTTGGTGGGTATTGGGCATAGAAAAAAGTCTGTCTGTGGCTTTGAGGCAAGTGGTTTGCACATGCTCAGCAGTAACTCTGTTCTTCAGATTTTACAGGGCTGCATTTGTTTTTGGTGCCAGGTCCTGGCCCAGCCTCTGGAGATTGCTGAGATGCAGTGGAAGTTTGAATGACTGCAGATGGCGCGTTTCACAGATGGGCAGAAAAGTTTTGTCTCGGTTTAGAATGTTAAAAATGACATAAAAACAGCAACCTCCCTAATTACTGAAAAAAGTGGGCATCTTGAGTCAACAGTTTACAGTGATTACTGGACAGTTACCAGGCAAAGAGGACAAGGAGGACACGTCCACACAGTGGACAGGCACCAGTGCACACAGAGTGTACAGACTGCAACATCGCTACAGTTGGCAGCCACAGAAGAGCTCTGCGCAGGGACAAGGAGGGCATGTCCACACAGTGGACAGGCATCGATCCACTCAGTGGACAGGCACCAGTGCACATAGTGGATGGACGGCAACACCACATCCAGTAAGTAAAGCCAGACTGAAGACTGCACTATGATTCCATCTCCTCCAAGGGCCAGCTCTCCATGGAAACTGAGAACCCAAGCAGAAACTGAACATGGCACCACCTCTGGCTTCAGGAGAGGCGGGGCAGGGGCTATGAGCTGTGTCCCTTCCATGACAACAGCCATGGACAAGGCCATGCCAGGCCTGGACAAGGAAGCAGGGGAGGTCTCCAGTGTGCGCAGCTGACAGGAAAATGAGACAAGGCTCATTAACATCTCAAGAGTGTGTGTGTGTGTGTGTGTGTACGCATGTGCACGCACAGATAAATGGGGACCAGCTCGCCTGGCCGTCTCCATCTAACAAGAATTTAGTGAGAATCCAAGAGGTGCCTGAGACTAACTAGCAAGCACAACACAGACTGTGATCCTCCAGGTGTCCCAGCACCCGAAAGAGGCAAAGGTCAGGGGAATTTTCAAGACCATAAAATGCATTTTCAAATTAGAAATCAACAAAGAAAGCATGACCCAGTATCTGAATGCATGACCTAGTGTAGGAAAGAGGGCAGGACTGTTACCAGTTGGCCGCCGCCTCTATTCTGGAGTGTTATTGTTTACTGTGGGACACTTGGAACATGCCTGCTCAGGAGGACACGACCCAGAGACTGGGGATACAGCTGTCAGCCCTGGGTTGCCAAGACATTAAGATCAGGGTGGAACGCAGGGGGCTTCATACTCTTAAGAGGTATGAGAAGATTTCCAGAGGGAGATGGTCACCCTTCAGCCATCCAGAGCTCGACCCTCAGCCAAGAGCAGGGCTGAGGTGAGGAAAGGCTGAGGCAAAAACCCATGTTAGGCCAATTTTCTATCCACTTTGTGCCTTCCTTCCTGGTTTGGACCTTGGGCAGAGTAGGGATGCTCCCTCAGGTCTTTAAGGCTGTAAATCCTTATAGACACATGTCTCTGATGTGGCGCAATCGGTGAGTTCAAACCACTGACTGTTAGCTGAATACGTTAGCCTGAGGTAGCAGGGCCATTTTCAGTTGCAGCCAGTTGTTAAAGGTGGGGATGGGGAGCATTTCACTTCATTGCCTTTTTGAAGTTAGACTTGTTCAGTGAGTGTGGGCAGCACAGAAAAGCCTGGCTTGGGTCTCTTTCTGGTTGTCTGATGTTACCAGTGACCTGGATTCTCTGAAGAGAGGTTTTCAGCTTATCCCTGTAGGTACACGCCAGACCCATAGAATGTCTTCATTTCTTTGAGAAGTTTGGAAGAAACCTCATGGACGAGAGCAGCAAATGTAGGACAGAAGAGAATTGATAGCTGATCAGATCTATAGCCATGTCCAGAGCACTGAATAATGGATCAGCGTCCACAGGGAAGAAGGGTCAGATGCCACTGGCAGAGGGTATGTGCTTGCTGGTCGGTCAATACTCTGATAGATAAAATATTTTTTATACCCTGAAGAAAGCTCAGGTTCAGGTTAATTGAATCAGGATTTTTAAAATCGGGCTGTGACAATTCTGTTACCCCATCAACACCAAAGCAAACCCACTACATGGAGTGGGTTCTGACTGACTCTATAGAACAGAGAGCTGCTCCACAGGGCTTGCCTGTAAGGACAGGCTAATGTTTGTAGAAGCCGCTGGCTCCCACATCTTCCTTCCCTAGGGCAGAATGAAAGACCACATTGTTCCTGGTTAGTGAGAAATCAAGCTATTTGGACTTGGTGAGGGGGAGAAAAAAATGACTTCAAATACTGAAGTGTGATTCTGTGTGCAAATCTCATTTGTGGAGGGAACCACTGAGGATTGCAGGCACAAGTGAAATCCAGCATGAGGGTGTTTTGGGGCTGGGGGTTTAAAACAATTCCAAAAAGTTCAGATAGCGCAGACATGTCCCTTGCCCACCACATCAACTTTTTATACAAGAACTGTTGCATCTCAACATCAAGAAGACAAAAATCCCATCACTATACTGAGAAACAACCTCGTGATAGAGGAAGAAAAGAAATCATACGTGAATCCATAGTCAATACCTTTGGTACTGTCAGGAGATCAGGTGACAAAATGCTTTGGGCAAGTTAGCTGTAAAAGGTCCTCTTCAAATTACTGAGAATTGTCAGTTTGAAGACAAAAGTGCCCTGATTGAAGCCATGCTCTCCAGTCACTTGCTGTGCATCCGAAAGCTAGACAATGAATAAGGATGAAAGAAGAGCCGCTACCTTTGAATTGTGTTGGAGTGCTGCGCCTCTCACATACTAACAAAAGAACACATGTTGTGAAGGAGGTGCAGCCAGAGTGCTCCGTGAAGGCAAGGATGGCAAAGCTTTGGCTCACATACTTTGGGTATATTGCTAGGAAAGGCTAATTAATCCTTGGAAAGAGATCATTCCTGGAAAGGTGGAGGGTCAGCGAAAGAAAGGAAGACCTTCAGCCAGATGGTTTGACACAGTGACTGCAGCAATGGGCTCAAGTGTGTCAGGGAGGAGGATGGCACAGGACAGGGAATACCGGGTTCAGCTCTATTGTTAGAGGGTTACTGAGAGTACAATTTCTAATTTCCAGCATTCAAGATATGTATATTCCATGTTCAAGTTATTAAAGGAAGGGGAGCTCTGGTGGCCTAGTGGCAAGAAGCTGCAATGCAATCCCAGAGGAACACGGTTCGAGTCCACCAGATGCTCTGCCGGAGAAGGAGGCGCAATATCCTCCTGTACCAGTCAGATCTGATTTGACGGTACACGCACACAAAATAATAATTAAAAAAATTTAAAAAAAAAGTTATTAAAGGATGCTTCATTTCGACTGACCTCCAGTCTAGCTCTACCAATAATACACATTACCAATATTCCACATTCCTCTACTGTTCATAGGGATGCCAGACACCTGTTATTTAAGAAGCGGATGGCCAGTCCTGCTTCCTAGTCTCTTATTCTGGGAGCTCTACTAAAACTTGTCCACCATGGGTAACCCCACACTAGTGGCATAGTTTTCAGTATCACAGCAACCCACAAGTTAGTACAGCAAACTGACAGACAAATACTACACCAATTACAACGATGTTCTCCCCAAACACAACAAACTGACAGTTTATAACTCAAATAGCAAATCAGGGTGCTCTGGTGGCCTAGAGGCAAGAAGGTGTGCTACAATCCTGAAGTCAAGGCTACCAGCTGCTCCGTGGGAGAAGGATGGACAATCTTATGTGTGATTAACTAACTGCCTCTGAAAACCCTCCAAACGCTCAGCTATGGGTCAGCTCCAGTTCTATGGTACACCACCACCATCACAACAATAGCAAGTCAGTCTTCACACAAGGCTTGAGGGCCCATCCAACTTTTAATCACAAAGGCCTGCCCAACAGGTCCTAATTGGTTTAAACAAGAGGTTCCTAGCCCATAACTGACTTTAAAAAGACCAAACAGCCCACAACTGACTCTTAATGAGCTCAAAAAGACCAAACAGCCCTGACCTGACTGTCAAAATGACCAAACAGCCCACCACTTCTCATCAAGCTAAAAAACCTACCTTCCAGAAGCCAACTTTTTGAAGCAAGAGGTTCTTAGACAGGCCTCAACCAAATTTTAATCACAAACTCTTGCCTACTGGGTCCTATTGATTTAAACAAGAGGCTCCCAGTCTATACCTGACTGTTAAATAATAAAGATCCTGGGTCCTATTGATTTAAACAAGAGGCTCCCAGTCTATACCTGACTGT